TCCTGTAGCTTCAATTATCTTTTTTATTCCAGCTAGCTTTCTCCCAAATTTTTAGCTGCTTTGCGTTTTGGTGAATGCTGTTTGCTGAATGCAATCAGTGTGCAGGTCTTTTCTGAAGCGTTTGTGGTATCAAAGATGTGATATATAAGTCATTGTAGTACCTTGCAATTTGCATTTACTTGCACAAATTGAATGCTGTTAGAAATTCAGTTTTTATTTTTCAACAAGTTGATATGATTGTAACAAGTTGATTATGGTATTGATTTACCCCGAATATCAGACCAATTTTCAACAGTACAACCTGTTGCATACCACAGGAGACCGAAGCACTGATCCATGTAGTTCTGTTTGTTCTGCCAAGTATATATGATTGTTCCAATTATGAAAAATGTTGGTTTTCTTCTCTCAAGCTGATGAATCAGTAGATTTTCTTTTGCAATTTAGTTTTGCTAATGTAAGTGGTTCTGTCACTTTGTGTAGTTTATAATTCAAGGTTTTTCTTATAGGTTGAAGAGTACAAGTTACATATTCAGCTTAAGAACATTATGGAGATGCATCATTTTGTTTTGTATATCTTATTTTTCTGGTCTGGCACATATTTTTTGCAGAGAACTTGCAGTGAAGTTCAAGGGGTCTATTTTTCTTTTTTTTTTTTAAAGAGATGAGACAGTAGCTTTTCATTGAGATAGAGAGACCGCACCAAGTTTGGAGAGACCTGGTAGCCTTGGCAAGATTTTGACGCTTAGATTAGCTTAATACGGGTGTGGCGTGTGTGAGTACATTGTGGTTTGTGGATGCTAGAATACAAGCCATGTGAGAAGTCATTCCTTGGTATTTGTAGGGGGAGGTTTGATCATTGGAACTTCGCTGTACAAAATTTATTCAGTGAGTACATTCTTTCACATTTCAGTCATACCTGTATGTAGTACTGCACTACTTTCATCGGCTGCTTTATTTGATTATTTCAGCAGAATATTATTCATTCAGAGCCTTCGATTTTTGGTGTATGTGCTCTTCATATATTCAATGATCGATTGTTTGTGATGGACATTTAGTGAATTGTTGGGTGCTTATTGTTCCGGTGGGAAGTTTTTGTCCGACAGAACCCCTAAGCTTATAGGGAGGGGTTGTCTTAAGGTATGTTCTCTTCAGCTTAATTTTAGCTCAACTCAGTTCAACTTATTTCCAATCAATTCACTTCAATTCAGCTCCTAATTTCCTTCTCTCATAAATAATTCATTTCAGCTCTATTCAGTTTAGTTCTGCTCAGCTCAGCTCATTAAATCAGAATAGGCCCTTAGTGCGTTACTGATCTTAGGGGTCATATGGTTGAATGCGCAAGAAGTTTAGCTCTTTTGTTGAATTTTATTCCTACAGAGCTCTACTTACCTTTGTGGAGTACTCCGTAGAACTTGAGGCTATGTTCATGGCAATCAAACAATTTGTTAAGCTTTAACTTTCTAAGAAGTGTAAATCTCACGTTCTTGGAGAAACATTTACATAACTTGAAGCTGAAAGACAATGTCTTTTAAAATCAAAACTAAGTAAAATCTCAAGTGACTTATATTGAATTTATGAGTTTACATAAATGAACGAAAGTTATATTTTTATCATTAATTTTCTCACTTTAATTATCCCTTTTTATATCACATTTTTGTATTTTCTTTTCTTCTATTTAATTCACAAAGTCACTATTGGATGTTATTAACTAAAATTCACTTGAGGATCTAGGAGATAGAGGGATGGTTAGTCCCTCCATCTCTCCCCGTGTGACGGGGTTCGAACCTCATCCGCCCTCCTGTGATAGGAGGGGGCTCTCTGTACACCTTATCGGTAAAAAAAAATAAAAAGATAAAAAATCACTCCTTTATACGAAGTATGATATTTCGTATTAATTAACCTAACTTTGACTTTTATAAATTTCAACTAATTCTACATACATCAAAACAACACCAAATGATTATTTGGGATCTTGATATGGTTTATTTCATTGCATTTTTAATAATTTTATGTGTTTTACCAAATACATGCAGTGCTACATATGTATTTAAAGCTAGTTAAATGTATGCATTGAATGTTGTGAATAAAACAAAAATATATTTTTTACTATTTTTTAGGAAAATGCCAAGTAAAATCATTAATTAAGGGACAAGAAAAACAAATGAGTAATTATGAAATAATTGTAAAATTTAGTATTACGCCCAAAATTATTTCTTCATGATGTCCTTTAACTACATAAACAAACAAGCATTTAGGTTTAAGAAAACCTTCATATTTTATGTATAACTATGAAAAATGATGGGATGCATCATTAGTACAAAATCACATGATTAACTAAATAGACCGTTAAGTATATAGCCAAATATCTTAGTTGGAGTGGTATGGCATAGTGTACTAAAAACCATTAAAAAAAAGAAAATGCTATATATAGCCCTTAGGGCTACATATAAGCATTAAATTTACACTTGAAAATCGTAAATAGTTAAGAAATCATCAAAATATAAACATTATTTACACTGATTTACGAGTGTTTTTGTCATAAATTCCTAATTTTATACAATTTCCAATAATATATTTAATGCTTATATATAGCTCTTAGGGCTACGTATAGCATTACCCTTAAAAAAAATACCCACTATGAATCTATGATTAACAACATTAATGCTTCCAAAATTTATATTAACGTTGATTATTCAAATTTTACAAAGTATTAGTACCATATAATATACAATTATACCGTATTAGGAATAGTACAAATGATAATTTAACGTCAAATTAATTTAAACCTCTCACTTTCCCCCGTTTTATTACTTCGTATGGGACCCACACCTAACCTAAAAGGTTGACGTTTAACTACCACGCTCGCATTAGTCGTAAATTTTTGATGAAGTGTTCTTTTCTTTGTAAGTAAATGAAAATCCCACGTATATGGCCAAATGGCCCCTAATCTTTCTTAACTATTCCTTCGTATGTATGTTCGAGAAATACAGAGTAATTCTTCTTATACACTTTTTTTTAAGGGGAGAATCATCTTTCTCTCCTCCCTCAATTTCACAGTTGGAGTATTCATCATATCTATTGGAAATTTGGGAGACAACCCGTACAGGCGTATAGCAGATTGGATCACTAATGTGAGGACTTAGTTACTTATAGTATGATGTTTGTAATAACTAATTAATTTCAATTTTTTTTTTCTGATACATTAGGAGTACCCCTCGTGAGGAGGGCATCATAATATTTTTATTATCTTACCTTTAAAAAACAAATAAAAAATTAACATATACGGATTTTAGATACCTTTAATTTCTTTTTAAAGACTTTAGAGATACGAATTTTTACTATTTATTAATTATATCTAGATCCGATAATGTCGAGTTATTATATGAGGTTGATCATTAGTATACATTTATGCCTCTATATCTTTGTTTGTATTTTTTTATTCATAATGTCATTAATAACATATTACTATGTAAGTATTTTGTTTAAAAAAAAAATAATAAAGTATAGCATATCTTGGTTGTACGACATGATTGAAAGTTGCATGTTCAATGTTAGACTTTATTATCATTTTTGCGAAAATGAACCAAACGACTAAAGGGCTATTAAAATTTGGTTAATGAATCCAATATGGTCTAATTCGGGTTTTTGATATCTGTAATATCAAATTGGAATTTTTTTGATATTTATTTAGATCAGATTTTCTTGTCGGACATGGCTTAATAATTGTTTTATTTTTATTTTTAATCCGTGCTTCAAAATGAGTGAATATATACAAGCTTCTCACCTTTGATAATCAATTCTTTATCCGATCCAATAGCAAATTTGTAAATAAAAAACTTGAAGATTTGGTTTTTATTAAAAAAAAAAAAGAATTATTGTACTTTTGTCTAACTTCAATGGAAGAGGGAAAGCACGACATCAATAGAGGAGAAAAAACTCACCTACCTTTTAGGTCAACTTTGCCATATATTTCGCTATTTTTCTTAGACCCTTAGGGTCTTTGTTTTGCCATCGGAAATGATGATGTTTGTGTTGGCGAAGTCTCCGTCGAATAGATTTAATGAAAAAGGAGACGAAGGAGGGTAGGATCAAGTAAGGATGAGGAATATGAAGGTAGCTGGGATCACTTTGGAGTATTGGCATTTTTGTTGGAGGATTTGATGAGATTATGAAAAGATAGTCGAATAACTAAAAAATAGAAGAAATAGATAGAATAAATGGGGACGAAAAGATAAGAATAAATAGCGTGCGAAAAGAAGATGAATAGGTGGGTTGGTTTTCGGTGGTGAATCGCATAAGGAAGGAGATATATATGAAGGAAGAAAAAGGTAAAAAATGATACACGGTCATGCATTTTGAGTACACCATAATCTTGGCTCAACCACGTGTTGGTGTTATCCGATTTGATAATTAATGTATTTACAATCGTTATATAAAATAAAATAAAAAACCAAAAAATCAACCCAAACAATCAGCAAAGAAAGAAAAATCCGATTTAATTTTTTTATTTATTTGTTTTTGTGTTTTTTTTAGGCATACACCAAAAAAAGAAAAATAACAAAAACTAAAAACAATCCGCAAGACTATCAAGAAAGCACTAGGCGAGGTTTACTTGAATAATGATCGACTCTAATCTATCCAACTCGACCAATCTAATTACCCTTACCGGTCTTAAGTGTTGGATGAATTTGAAACGAAAAGAATATATAGTTTTGGTCATAGCTAGAGTCATAGCAACATAGATTTGCTTACCAAAAATTGGTACAAGCACGTGGACACTAAACTTCCATGAGTGCGAGTAAGTGTACACACCTAAACCTGAAAGCGTACAACACAAAACACCTTTCCTTTATTCTCTCTCCTTCGTTTTTTTTTTTTTCTTTTTTAACATTTCATTTTCAAAATCAGAAAAATTAAAAAAGTTGTTTATTTTTATTTTTGATGAAATTATAGTGTACGCTCCTATCTCTTTACTCTTGTCCATTTTTTAATTTTATTTTTTTCTAATTTTCTCTCTCATCTCCGGCAACAGAAAGAGAGAAAAAATTTGAACCAAAAAATTTGAATTTCCTAAAATTTCGAACAAAATTTTTATTTTTTCTCACATTTTTCTTGCTCTCATTGCTCAAATTCAGATCGAGCTTCTGCAAATTTTATGCCCTAGAACAAAAATTGTGTAATTTTCTGGGTAAATTATGTCGACGGAAGATGAGAAGTTGTTGAAGGAGGCGAAGAAACTTCCATGGGAAGATCGATTGTTTCATAAGAATTGGAAGGTTCGAAATGATGCGAACATCGACCTAGTTGCATTTTTCGACTCCATTACCGATCCTAAGGACACTCGGCTTCGTGAATTTGGTATATTTTTTAGGGTTTTTGATTTTGTTTTAGTTGATTAGATCTGATTAATTTGGGTGTTTTTTTGATAATGCATTTGAATTTTGGGTTTGGATCTTATTCTGTGAAATGGGGTTTTTTTGAATTTTTATTTTGGTTTGGAATTTTTCAGGGCATTATTTTAAGAAAACAGTGACTGATTCTAATGCACCGGTGCAAGAGAAGGCGCTTGATGCTTTGATTGCGTATTTAAAAGCTGCGGATGCGGATGTTGGAAGGTGGGTTTGGTTTAAGAGAGTGAAATTGTTGGTTTTGGGTTGTTCATTGTTGCTTTGAAATTAATGGGTAATTTTGTTGGTTTTGTGTTTATGATTTAGGTATGGCAAAGAAGTATGTGATGCCGTTGTTGCGAAATGTCTTACCGGGAGGCCGAAGACTGTGGAGAAGGCACAAATGGTGTTTATACTCTGGGTGGAGTTGGAGGCAGTTGAGGCTTTCCTGGTATGAAACTTTCCTGCTTAGTTTCTATTACACAATTAAGTAGCCAGTTTTTCGTTTTGTTTCGAATATGTGAGCTACTTTTCTACTGGGCGAACGAGTGCTAGGATAGATTTTGGAGCAAAAGTGTATTGCACTATGGCCTTGCATTTGTAAACTTGTAATGCAGTGGTTGTTTTTGGAATTGTATTTTACTAGTGTTTGGCTATGTACATTTTGCAAGTGACATAGAGACCGTGTCTGGTTTTATCTACTCTGGAGTATTAGACAGCAGTGTAAGCTTCTTAGCTAGTATATTCATGGTCAGCTTTTCTAGCTGATGGGGTTCTGGTTATAAAAAAACTTATTGTCTGGATTCGTCTTCATTGCTTTGTAAAGGGTTCTGAAGCCCAAGTTTAGGCTCTCATGTAATCAATGGAAAGGTTTGTGGGATTGAGTTTCAGATTAATAGAATATACATGTTGAATTTTCACGGTAGAGAGTTTGAAGGGTGGTATATTGAAGTCTTTCTTGCTCTTATTTCATCTAACTCAATACTCTCGTTATATATGGAGTGCTGCAACATTAAGTTGTGATCATTTCCTTCCCTACATGGTTTTAGTAAGTTTTAGGGCGTAGTTTTATGGGTACTTTGGCCTAAATGTAGTGTTACTACCTTTGTATCATCTCAATTACTATTAGTATAATATGCTTTTTGTTAAGTTGCAATTGTAATAAGCTTTGGACAAGAAATGTACCTTTTGTTTACAATTATCTGGAAAAATGGTACCATATGTTTAATATATTTGGAGATAAGAGAACCCAATTCAGTAAACACTTGAAAGGTTAAAGTTCATATGGAGGAAGAAGAGATTAGATACCAAGCTCTATGAGGTAATGAAGAGGTAGTTGTATGAAGTTTTTGGAACTTAGGAGTAGTTATTTAAATTCTAGGATGAAAGAGAGATTCAAAGACAATGGAGGTATTCCTTAAATGCTTTTATATCATTCATGTAGTGTGGAGTACCAATGGCTAGACAATAAGACTTTATGTCAAGTCGTTGCATATAATTTGAAATGGAGAGTAGTAGAGTAAGCCTAGTCTCAAGCTGCGCCTAGAAAACTTCAAGGAAAAGAAATTGCAATGCCTTGGATTTACCTTAGTCGAAAAATATGTATGTACGTATTTCAAATATTCTCCTGATTTACCAGGGAATGTGTAGGTTGCTTTTGGCTGATTCCTCGCTACCAGGTTCGTCTGTATGTTAATCCATGGAAGCTCCCTTTGTTACTATTGGAGATATTCATTCTCTTCTTTTCTTTTTATTCTTTCCATAAAAAATAATCTTGACTGAAAGGTCTATTTTGCAGAAAAATGTTAATATGGTTTAACCCAAATTTAAAGAGGAGTGTTAAGATTATTAGTTTTAAATTTTTTGCAATAAACGGGGTATTTTAACCAGAATTTTATTGTAGCTTTATGTGACGATTGAGGTCTGTGTGCCTCCTGTGCCAAAGTGATAGCAACTCATCTTGGGTTCCTAAATTGGTGTCCAACTTTACAATACTCTGTTCGGGATTGTATGTTAGATATGATAAATAGTTAATAAATGTTTTTCTTTATCCCAGGAATGGACATTTATATTTAATCTGGTTGATAAATTTATGTCCTACATGTATCCTATCGCCTATATATGCTTTTAGAAGTACTTTTAGGGCCAATCTGCCATGACATGTTCACATAAACTTCTGTCTTTGATTCATAGTAGCTCTCTATGTCTATAGAGGGGACTTTGTTTTTTACACTTCCTACCGTATGATTATGACAAAATTTGTATTTTGAATTTAATAACACACATGAAGCATCATGGGTTTTCTAGGAGCTGCTTATGTTTAATCATTGTAACAAAATTTTTCTCATGTATGCTGACAAAAGATGAGGTCTTTGAACTTACAGAGTTATAGAGATTGTGATTGAGCCGTTAGGTCAATTTGGCTTTTAGTTATCATGTGTAAATTGGCTGACCCTGCTGGCTTTAGTGTGTGTAATAGTCATCTATGGCATTATGTCTTGCAACAATTTTTCAAATTTATTTTGATGAGAGTTGACAAGTTGAATCCTGTGGACTTTCTGTGGTTATGATTCGACCTGTTTCGTTATCTGGTCTTTTGTATTCTATATTTTCATTTACACAAAATGGATTTAAGCATCAGCTGGTATTGCTGATGTGTTGTAGAATGCGCTTGTAACTTACTCAACAATGATGCAATTTTTGTTTTCTTTGGCACCCCATTTTTTTCACCGTATGTGGTTGTTGGCTGATGTCAGCAGAAACATGCTTGTTGTTTCTGTTGTGCTTTCTAGCTATAGTAAATGACCTTGAAAACTCTGTATGTTATTTCTCTCTCTCTCTCTAATGATTTTTTTTACTTATTCAATGCAAGGATGCTATGGAAAAGGCTATTAAAGCCAAAGTGGCTAAAGCTGTTGTTCCTGCCATCGACGTCATGTTTCAAGCGTTAAGGTTCGTGGGCTGTACTGCTTGTGCTTAATATATCATTTTTGGTTCTGTTATTATGCGATTTCTACGTAGTTTCTGTTATGCTTACAATCTATCTTATCTTTGGGATGTTAAATAGTGAATTTGGGTCCAAGATTATTCCCCCGAAAAGAATTCTTAAGATGTTACCAGAGCTTTTTGATCATCAAGACCAAAATGTTCGTGCATCCTCTAAAGGATTGACCTTAGAGTTATGTCGCTGGATTGGACAGGACCCTGTCAAATCCATCTTGTTCGAAAAAATGAGGGATACAATGGTAAAACTATCTATATATTATCATACTTTTTTCTGTGTACTTTCGTATCTAATATGCTGGAGTGATGATTTATTTTATTTTTGGGTCTTTAGAAAAAAGAGCTGGAGGCAGAGCTTGTCAATGTTAGCGGGATAGCAAAGCCCACACGAAAGATAAGGTGATGCTAGTATGCAATTTGATTTTGCGCTTTCTGATTGTGACAAAAGTGTGTGGGGTCAAAAGTGATTCATTATGCTCATAGGCTGGAATTGTCTAAAACCTCTAAATTGTTGCATAGATGCTCATACCATTCCACTAATTTCTTGATTATCTTAATTAGGCTGCTTAATTTCTGTGATAATATGATTGCTTGAGGCTGGGGTCAAAAATATGTCCATAAATTGAGCTACGTTTGATTTTTCCGAAATGTCCTGAATTTGAATGTATACTTGCCTGATGGCACAATGGGTGATATATTTGTCAAGCAAGGTTTATCTGCTTTTATTTGGGTTTTCTTTTTCAGATATGGATTTTGCTTTAAAAGTACACTCTTTCTGTCATGGGGTTTCTTCCCATTTTCCTTTTCCTGATTTCTTTTCCTCTGATCTTGAATCTGTTTTGTTTTTAGTGTTGGCCATCTGAACGTTTTTGTTCGTATTAAAATTGGGTTGCTCATATTCAAAACAAAACCATTGATTTATGTAGTTAGATACCCTCTAATCATATTCAAAACAAAACCATTGATTCCAGTGCATCTTCTCTCAATTCACTATTTCATTTGGGAGGTAAATATTGAATTCACAGCTTCCTGCATGAAATATTTTTTATTGACCAGAATTTTTAGCTACCTGACCACCTGTGTGTTTAGCATGAATAAGGCTTTTGAATACATAGGATTTCCCTTCTTCAGCTAAAAGGCGAATCAATTGTCTGTGAATATCACGAATATGAATTTTGTTTCCGTAGAACATTTGCTGAATACAATACTGATATTCTTTTTTATTATCCATGTAAATTCAGATCTGAACAAGACAAAGAGCCCGAACCTGAGGTTGTTGCTGAAGTGGAAAATGCAGGACCATCAGAAGAATCTACATCCGATGGTATGCTACTATATACATTGGCTTTTAGCCTCTTACTGACCTTTATAATGTACAACCTCATATCGAATACTGTGTTGTCGATGACACTAGCAAATAAAAAAAAGGCTAAAAAGTTGATTGGGTAGATTATTTTGTCTCCTGTACTTCCATTTGGTGCTGTACTAGTGTACTGCATCAAATAGTTCAATAATTCAGTGATATATGTTATAAATAGAGTAGTGCATGTCATATAGCTCCATATAATTGCCATATTTGACTGGGGCAACCCCCAATTAATGTTGGCTTGCTACTGTGTTGAAATTGATAGCAGCACTTTGGTTTCAGCTCCACAGGTTATAGATGAATATGAGTTAGTTGATCCAGTGGACATATTAACGCCATTAGAGAAATCAGGATTTTGGGATGGAGTGGTCAGTTCTCTTATACCATTTTGTTCTCTTTGTAAATGTTGGTTCTATGTACTATAAATGTAGGGTTTTATCATTTCAGTGGCTAATTGACACTTCAATCTACTGTTCATTGGTCAACTTTATTCTTTGGGAGAGTTGTGGGAGACTCATTGTCATTTCTGATTTGGTTTGATTAGAAAGCTACTAAGTGGTCTGAACGGAAGGAGGCTGTTGCAGAGTTGACAAAACTTGCTTCCACTAAGAGGATAGCACCAGGTGATTTCACTGAAGTCTGCAGAACACTCAAAAAGGTTGTTTTGACACCTCTTTTTTACCTCTTATATATAATAAATCCTTTTCATTGACTGTGCTTAGTCTCTTGCTGTTTAACATGTTTGACTATATAATATCGTTGCAGTTAGTCACAGATGTAAACATAGCTGTTGCAGCTGAAGCCATACAGGCTATTGGGAACCTTGCTCGAGGCTTAAGGGCGCACTTTGCTGGGAGCTCACGCTTTTTGCTTCCTGTTTTACTTGTAAGATATCACAATTCTTTCTGGATTCCCTTTTTTTTAATCAGGCTGCTGTCTTTGTTGTGTTTTGTGCTGCATCTGCTTACTGTATAAAGTTTGGTATTGTTATAATGATGTGTGCCACCATGTTGACTAAACATATCTTTACATGACTCCTCGGTGCTCCTAATTTCACCCCACCCCCCTCTTCTAAATGTATTTCTGTTTGTGACCTTGTGTAATGTGACTGCCTTAAAGATAAAACTTCGTCTTTTCTCACAGGAAAAACTGAAGGAGAAAAAGCCTACCATCACAGATGCTTTAACCCAAACGTTACAAGCCATTTACAAGTCTGGATGTGTAAATCTCGTTGATATTGTCGAAGGTAAACTTTCATTTTTTACTTTTTAATTTTCCTTGAAATGCACAGGCAGATTTGGATGTCTGTAGACTACAGTCCACAGGTTCAAGTATTGTGATACTTGGGCCAGCTACTTAGAACATTGATGCATTACATGGTACATGCCATTTAAACCTTCAAACTGTTTACGTTTGAGTCCAATTGCACTCTGAGCAGTGCAGGAAAACTGAACTTATTGATTAAGTTGTGGCAGAGTAAAGAATTGGTATAGCATAAGTGTGTCAGTAATTGTGTGAGTATACTTATTAAACATGAGAATTGTTGGGATGGAGGATGTTTTTCTCTGTGACAAATTTCTTTTTTTGTATATCTCCCCGTAAGTGTTCAAACACCTTTTTTTTGGTTAGCTATTGTAGATGTTGTCTAGCTGTCAATTTCCATTTGGTTCTCGTTTCTGATTCCTGTTTTATTTCTTCAGATGTTAAAACGGCTGTGAAAAATAAAGTTCCTCTTGTGAGATCGTTGACTCTAAATTGGCTCACATTTTGTATCGAGACTAGCAACAAGACTGTCATTCAAAAAGCTCACAAGGATTATGTTCCCATATGTATGGAGGTCAGTGACTTTAATTGGTGACTATATTTGCTGCTTATTTTGTATATTTTTTGAATAGCTGTTTAATTTATTTATTTTCATACTAGTGATACCTGTTGCTTGAATTTGGATCTGCTATAATTCATATAGTTCTAATCTTATGATGATATGCTTTGTGTAATGTGCAGTGTCTTAATGATGGGACTCCTGAAGTAAGAGATGCAGCCTTTTCTGTTTTGACGGCCATAGCCAAGGTGAGTACTGAGTATCTTATATTCTAACTTTTCCTTAGTCTTCAAGTCAACATGTTGCAAAGTAGAAACTGAAATGTTCATCTCTTTTCTTGTTTTAGTTGGTAGGTATGAGACCTTTGGAAAGGTCACTAGAGAAACTTGATGATGTCAGGAGAAAAAAGCTTAATGAAATGATTGGTGGTTCTGAAAGTGGTCCACCTGCTGGTGGAAGCTCAGGTGTGTTCTTTTATTTTTAATTCTATTGTCCTTTGAAACTGGAGGTCCTTTATATTAACCTCTTATTTTGATCATCGCATGTCAGTCAATGTGCAAGTCTCAAGTGGATCTGCATCTGAGGTGTGTTTTGCTGCTTATTTAATATTATTTATCTTTGTTTTCTATCTCTCTTACATTGATTTGTGCTTTTATCTTTCAATGGTGCCTTCACTCCCAAGTCCAAATTGCAGACAATGTATTTCAAAAGCCTTTTTTTTGGCTAATAAAGTACCCATTTTACAAAAAACAAACTTTTCCTTTTACACTGCTAATATTTAATACAATTATATCCTTACTTGTATGCGTTAGTTAAATGCTTGTATTATCAAGGACGTTTTTTTTTTTTAAATTTTTTTTGCCTATCTTCCTCTTCTATTTTCCCACTACCCCCTGGTGCATTCCCCCCATGTTGCAATATTAAGGGTTTGTTTTGTTTGATGTAAAATATTTTCATGGAAAATGATTTTCCCATTATCCCTGTTTTACCTTTTGGTCTGTGAAAGGGTGGAAAACAATTTTCCTACGTTGGAAAATTACACTCTCAACAGTGGAAAGCATTTTTCTTTACTAAACAAGGGAAGCCACATTTTCCTCTCTCCTCCTTACCTCATTTTTACTTTACTCGCATCTATATAATTTTTCCGCTCTTTTTAATTTCTCTACAACTTTTCTCACAAGGAACCAAACAAAGGAAAACAAATTTGCAATTGTAGTTTTCCATGAAACTCGATCTTTTTTTTGAATTGTTTTACGTCAAACCAAGCTGAGCCTAAAGGATCATAGGTAGCATAGTACTTTGTCGATTACCAACTAAAAAAAAATTGAGAATATAGAATGAGGACAAGCTGTTTTTTAATCATTCTTTTGTAATCGAGTCGTGGATGAAAGTTGGTGTTCTTCATTGTTTTTGAGAGTATATGCCATACAGCCATGATTACTTCAGTGAAGTAAAATTTTAGATGTGTTGTCGATTTAAAGCTTAAACCGGTGTTTTATGTGTTGTGGATGACTGAGGAATTTCAGAATAATTAGTCTATGTTAGACAATGATTTTCAGCTTTATATAATTTTCTGAAACTAAGGTACTTTCTCCTTTTTTTTTTAGTTGCATCACTTTTCAATTTGCGGACTCCTAGGCAATTTTTGAAGATGAGATAAATAGAGGGATTAAAAAAATGGACTCATGTGTTAGGAGAGAGATAGATAGAGTTTATTAACTAAAAGGAAAGTGATGCAACTAATTTGAAGTTTTCGTTTTAGGAAAGTGATGCAGCTAGAAAGAAATGGAGGAAGTATATACTTTGATAAGCAATGCATTGTTTTATTTTGTTTAGTTTTCTTTTTCAGTTTTCCTGTTTTAGTGGGCTTATTATTTTGTACAATGTGACACTGTTTTTGTTGTTGACAGGCCTCATTTGTTAAAAAGTCGGCAGCAAGTATGCTGAGTGGAAAAAGGCCTGTTCAGGCAGCTGTGAGTGTTCTTGTTCATTTGAATCCATTATTTAGATGAAGTCGTAATATTTTTTGCTCTGGGATTTTTTAAATTTATCTTGTCTGTTTTTACATTCTATTAGCCTGCTGCCAAGAAAGGTGCTACATCAAAACCTGCTGCCAGCAAAAAAGTTGATGGAGGTGGGCAGCAAAAAACCGTGAAAATTGAACAGGAAGATGTTGAGGTATTTTTTCTTTATTTTTTGACGAAGTTCCCTGGTACTTGGTACAAAAAATGTCATTAACCTGTGTTTGTCCTGGTGAGCAGCCATCAGAGATGAGCCTTGAAGAAATTGAAAGCAGACTGGGTTCTCTTGTACAAGCAGAGACTATTTCTCAATTAAAGAGCACCGTATGGAAAGAAAGGCTGGAAGGTTTAGATTCTATTTAACCTTTATGTGTGGCATTATAATCATTTTTTTGACTTGCTTTTATGTTATTTTGATTTGTATCTGATCTTTTTAGATTGGTTTTGTGTTGCTTTGCTTTTTCTCTGTCGTTGCTGGTATTGATGTTTTAAGTGTTAGCTTTAATGTGTTATTCTTTCTCTTTTTTTCATCCATGTCCATGCAGCAATTTCTTCATTGAAAGAGCAAGTGGAGGGCATTCAGGAACTTGATCAGTCAGTGGAGATTCTGATTCGTTTGTTATGTGCTGTCCCTGGATGGAGTGAAAAAAATGTTCAGGTAAAAAAACAAAATTCTCATCTTATATAATCACCTGATAGTTTGCACTGATCCAAACTTTTTTTTTTTTTTTTTATTTGAAATCATTTTTTCTTACAAATAGTTTTTTGTATCGCCAATCTTTATTTTGTAAAAGAATACACATCCTCTATTTTTTTGGATGAAACGTGTAGGAATGGCATGGGGATTTATGTAAACAGTAAAGATACACATCCTTTATTTTGTAAAGGGAAAGTGTGAGAGGGAAACTAATTTTTTTTTTTTTTTTTTTTTAAAAACCACCAAATCCCATCATCCCTCTGCTTTGCCACAGAAGCTGCACCGATCATCAACTTCTGCCATTTGGCTGCCCCAACTCACCAAACCCCATTGCTATGAACCCACCCCATTATTCCTTCTTCCATCATACCAAATTTCCAACTCACTTGTAAGCATTGCATGACCTTTAAAATTAAAATCACCAGCAACAGCTAGATGTTGGTGGTGGCTTAATGTCAATAAGTTGGAGTTTTTTTTGTTTTTATTTATTTTTTTTTTTTTTGGGGGGGGGGGGGAAGTATTCGTGACTTGTGTGTGAAGGTCTCATGGGCATAGAGAGAGGTAGATTGATGATGAAATCTATGTTACTCGGACTCTTTCATTTACCTCACGTGTCCGTGTCGACACGACTCGTGTCGGACACCGACACTTGGACACTTCATTTTTAACTAAAAACAAAACTTTTTTCAAAAAAATGGGCGAGTCCGATACTTGGACACCTGTGTCTAATTTGACACTTCATCCGAGTCTAAGTAACATAGGATGAAATAGTGGGTGGTTGTATTTTGATATTGAAAATGGTTGGAGGTTAAAGATGAAGAAATAGGTGGTTTTGGGTATATGAGTTAGTGTTTTTGTTGATAAGGTGGGTAATTTAGTTTGTAATTCTAATAATTGATTGGAATTTGTAACTTAATGTTTCGCTAGATGAATAAATAAGGATATTTTATACGTGGGAAATTGTATGTGGTAAAATTTTGAAGTGTTGCATTTATTTTGAATCTTCCTTTTTTAGGAAACTGTTTCCTCTGAAAAACATGGAGGAAATATCTGGCATGACATAACCATCTAACAAAAACCTTATTACTCATCCATTGGTCATATTCAGAAAGTTCAGTGCTTCAGTCATTGCTTTTGTTGCTTTTAGCCAAAAGCAATGACTGAACTTTCTTAGTGGATAATTGGGACATGGAGGTAGTGGGAGACTGAAAATGACTTGGTTGGAAGAAGTTAGGAAGGATATGAAGCATATGGACTTGCATGACAATGAGGTATCTGATGGTAAGGGATGGAGGAGGAAGATTTTTGTGGATGACGATGCGGAATAATCACTTTAAGTTTATGTAGCCGACCCCACTTACGGGATTAATGCTTTGATTGATTGATTGAATCGATAAAATAATTAAGTCCAAATTCTCCAAAAATGACTTCACTTTTGATTTTTTATTTCCTTCTAGATCTTACATAATTTACATGCAAGTGCTGTAGAAAAACAAGAAATATTGGTCTTCCCTGATATAAACGTTATTTCCAATGACAATTAGTCACCACAAATTTTCACTAATTCTAAATTGTTGGTTCCTTATTATATCGATGTGAAGATACTTTGCACATGCTATGGTGTAGACATACAGCTGTTGTCAGTCTTGTCACTTGTATTTAGATTGTCTAAACACACTACCTTTAGTCCCTTGTGTTCTATGTAGAAGTTGTTAATAGAAATTGGGAAAATGGTAAGACTTTTGTGTTTAGATTGTGTATAGGCTAATTAGATAATTTTCCGAGAGTGAGGGGTAGCTTATGTGGTTAGAGCTTCCCTCCCTGTTTCAAGAAATCCTAACATCGATTCTTACCCCCGCCCTTGTGGCTCTCTAAACACCAAAAAAAAAAAAAAGATATTTTTCCCAATCCGCCTCTCTTTTCGGGTGAATGCAGAACAAAAACACACCCACATTTCTCTTAGCGCTATAACAAGTCAGTCAAGTGTTAGCTTATATTGGATAGTTGATTTATTTGAAATTGCCAATCTGTAAATGAATATCTTTAGCTTTGAATCTTAAAATTTAGTTAGAGTAAAAAGGTGTTAAACCTGACTCAATATAGGATACAAATAGATGAAAGGGCTGTACTCCGGAGCTTCCTAACGCTAAAATTAGTCAATTTTTATGATCAGAGTAAAGAACAAGGAATATAGTTTGGAGAAAATTTGATAGTAAATTCCTTGCTTGTCTTTCTTATCCATATGCCCAGTCTGTACTTGCTCTCTGTTTATCACTCCATACTTCCATAGGATATTTGTACTTAGATATATCAAGAATTAAGGATGTGTTGAGAGTTTAAAGGATATCTGCTAAATTATTGGTATTTCTGTCGTGAATGATGTATGATTCAGTATTATTCATAATTTACCCGTGGTTGTATTGGGTAAGTTTTTAAGCCTTTCGCTAATAAGTCACCTTTTTGTAGTCAATCTTTTGCTCTATGGCAATCATTGTTAATGTTTTGGCATCGTTTACTTACCACAGCTATGTTGTTTAGTGACTACTCTTTTGAATATCACAGGTCCAGCAGCAAACTGTTGAAGTTATTTCTTATGTAGCATCGACAGCTACAAGATTTTCCAAAAAGTGTGTTGTTCTTTGTCTTCATGGTGAGTAACTTGTTACTTTTGTCTTGCATATTAGTTTATTGTTGCTTTGCTTGCTAGTGATATCCAGAGATACAATTTTTTTATATTCTGTATTTCTTTTTGATTAATTGTCTACTTCACAGGTCTAAGTGAAAGGGTGGCTGATATTAAGACTAGAGCCCAAGCAATGAAATGCCTGACTACATTTTCGGAAGCAGTAGGTCCTGGATTTATTTTTGATAGAGTAAGTAGTTTCTATCTTCATTCTCTGTATTCATTTCCCACCATGCAAACACTTTTATCATGCTCTTGATGTTGTCACTTGTCAGTGGAGGATTTTTCAATGAAGTTGATTTCATGTTTCTTTTTCGTGAATATGGGATACACCCTCACCTTTTCTATATGTTCTATGCTTGTTTTTTAAATGACTTTCATTTGCTGCAGTTATATAAAATTATGAAAGAGCACAAGAATCCAAAGGTCCTTAGTGAAGGCATTCTATGGATGGTTTCTGCTGTTGAGGATTTTGGTGTTTCTCTTTTGAAATTGAAGGTGATTGTCTTTTGTCTTAAACATCCTATGCTAGATTAGGTCTATTTTATGCCATGAAATATTGAGTTCTGAAATAGTTTTCTTTTGAGGAAAGTTTTTTTTAATGTAAATGCTATTTTTCTTCTGTGAAGGACTTAATTGACTTCTGCAAGGAGACAGGACTACAATCAAGTACTGCTGCTACTAGAAATGCTACGATTAAGTTGATTGGTGTCTTGCATAAATTTGTTGGCCCAGGTGATTATAGCCTCTTCCCTCGACTGCATGCTTTTTTCTTGTGAATGTGTGAAGCAGTGGAAAAGTGCTAATTAATGTTATTGCAGACATCAAGGGGTTCCTTACGGATGTTAAACCTGCACTTCTTAGTGCGCTTGATGCAGAATATGAAAAAAATCCTTATGAGGTATTTGCATTTCACTATTCCTATCCTAATGTATTTTGTTAGCAGGGTTTTTTAGATTAGTGTTACCTGTGCTGCAGGGACCATCTATAGCTCCAAAGAAAACAGTAAAAGCAACCGATTTGTCATCTGTTCCTGCTGGTGGCTCAGATGGTTTGCCACGTGAAGATATTAGTGCGAAGATAACACCAACCTTGTTGAAAAATTTTGAAAGCCCTGATTGGAAGGTATATATTAATTTAACATTTCAAATTATGTATTGTCATTAATTTTGTAATGTTGTGCTTCAGAATTTGCCTTATAAAGATATTGAAAGTGCTATCATCTTTATGTTTTGATAATATCCAGATACGCTTGGAATCCATTGAAGCTGTGAATAAAATTTTAGAGGAGGCCAATAAGCGTATTCAACCCATTGGAACTGGTATCACTGTGTTATGTTCATGGCTTCAATCATGTTTGAAGTTTCTGTTATACTTTTTGTTGGCAGTGTCAGTTGTAATTTCTCCCCCCATTAGTTGTTTATGAGTATTATTTTGACAAACAGGAGAGTTGTTCGGTGCTCTTAGAGGCCGTTTGAATGACAGCAACAAAAAGCTTGTGATGGAAGCGTCTTCTACCATTGGTGGTGTTGCTTTTGCCATGGGTCTTCCAGTTGAGAAAGCAAGCAAGGTTTGTTTGTTCATTTTTTGATATTGAATTTGCTGGAGCTCTATCTTGGGGTCTTTCCAGTGACTTCAAGTTTTTTTTGTGCATTCTTTACTGTTTTGTATGTTTTTTTATCTAAATTGAATTTGATTGTGGCTCTTACAGGGAATTCTTTCAGATGTATTGAAATGCCTTGGTGACAATAAAAAGCAAATGAGAGAATGTGTTTTAACAACTTTGGACTTGTGGCATGGTGCTGTCCATCTTGATAAAATGGTTGGTTTAAGATTATGACTATTGTTGGATTCTTGGGTAAATGTAAAGAAGCTAGAATTGACTGAACAGGAAATTGTTGTTAATGCTGTTCTGTGAGTATAGGTACCCTATATTACTGCTGCTCTTTTGGAATCAAAACTTGGTGCTGACGGACGTAAGGATCTTTTTGAATGGTTATCTAAGCATCTTTCCGTGATGAATGAATTTCCTGATGCGGTGCAGCTGCTTAAGCCAGCTGCCACTGCCATGACGGTATTCTTTGACAATTCTTTTTATGGTTTATGTTTGTTTTATCGTGGTCCAATTAAATCTGTGTCATTTTTTAATTGGAGGTCTGTTTACCCTTTTGGATTTAATTTCAGGATAAATCATCTGATGTTCGTAAAGCAGCTGATGCATGTCTTTCAGATATTCTTAAAGCTTGTGGTCCAGAAATGGTGCATTTTTAGGCTCTGCTTTAATGTATTGTGATTAAGAAAGATTATTGATAGTGAATATGGATTTGTTTTCTGACAATCATAACCTTATTGCCTTCTTAGGTGACCAAGAATTTGAGAGATATTCAAGGCCCGGCTCTTTCTCATGTTCTTGAGAAACTTAAATCTTACGGGGGTGTTCCAGGTATGCCTTTATAAATTTTGTCTCATGTCTGTTAATTATTTTCTTAGTTTGTGCTTAAGTTCACTTAGTTTTTCGGCCATCAGACGTGCATGATTCTGCTCAAGTTGCTTCTTCTACATCACTACCTAAGGGGAGCACGAGACTTGGTAAAACTAGCTCTAATGCTGGTGGGGAACGTGCACCTAAGTATGGAGCGAAATCAGCATCATCGGTGTGTTTCCTGTTTTTAATTATTCTCCAGCTTTCACAGTTTAATCTTACTTATTTTGTGGCTTTGATTATCTTAATGACTTTTGATCTTTCTACAGAGAGCTGCTCCGGCACGGAGCTCAAGAGCAGAGTCCATCATGTCTGTTCATGATATTGCTATCCAGTCTCAGCCATTATTAAATATTAAAGATTCGAGCAAGGTATTTCACCGTCGAGGTTATTTGTTTGTATTCCGTTGCATCCTTTATTACTATAGGGGAGTGATAATTTATGTGGTTATGATTACGCTCTGCAGGAAGATAGGGAAAGGATGGTTGTCCGCCGTTTTAAATTTGAAGAACCTCGTTTGGAGCAAGTACAAGATCTTGAGGTTCGTAACTTCTTAATTTCTCTTTGACTCTAAAGTAAAACCTGATGTCACTTGGGCATATGTTTTATTAGGATTAGTGAGAAAATACGGTTGGTTAATATTGAATAAAAATGTAAGTTAATGGATGATGGACAGATTGGAGACAATCTAAGTGACACATGATGCTTCTACTACCTTTGTTTCATATTATCTGCAACATTTTCCAAAAACGGAAGCTACATATTATGCGCAACAAACCAAAAGTTTCTTCTTTTAGTAAATTTTTCTGTGTATAATTACCAGCATACCCTTACTTAGTTTTACTTAACTTCAATAAACAACATATTAACTCCAAATTAATTTATCCATAATTAAAACTTTTACCCACATTCTATGATTCTATCTCCTCCCTCACAAACACATCCACCACAACCATCACCAAATTTTCTCTCTCCTCCCTCTCAACCGCCAGCAGCAACCCTATTATCTCCTCTCACAACCACCACACGACCACCACCACTCAGATTAAGTCGCCGACCATTTCACCTCACCCTTGCCAGGTTGCCACCACCTCTTTTCCCTTTTTCAAAGTCGCCGCCCCTCACTAAATCATATTACGACGCAATTTGGAAAAGGTGAAATTCGATGGTTTTTTTTAAACCAATACGAGGTGAGGTCTTGGTGGTGCTGCGTCTTGGATCTTGGTGGTGGTGAGGACGTGAGGTGGGGTTTAGATCTTTGTGGTGGTGAGGTGGGATTTTATTCGTTTCCTTGGTGGTGGTAAGTTGGGGTTTCAGATCTAAATTAGTGGTGGTTTGTTGGGGTTTCAGTCCTTTGGAGGTGGTAAGGTTGTTGTTTCGGTTCGTTGGTGGTGGCTTGCCTGGTTACATGGGGTTTCAGTTCGTTGGTGGTTTGGTGACGCGGGGCTTCGTTTGCTGATGGTGTGGGTTGGTGGTCTAGTGACGTGGGGTTTCGTTCGCTGGTGTTGGAGGATGACATGGGGTTTCGTTCGTTGGTGGTGGCTGATGATATGGGGTTTCGATTGGTGGTGGTGGGAGTTGGTTGGGTGCGTTTTGGGTGGTGGTGGTGGGTTTCAGATCTTAGTGGTGGTGAGAGGGTGGTTACAAGGTGGGTACCGATGGTGTTTACTTTCTCTCTCATCCAATCAATCATATGCCCCTTTTTTACTAATCTTTGCTTAAGAAATTTTGTCTTGGGGATTGTGCAACCAAGTTTGTTGCAGATAATACAAAACAGAGGTAGTATTAGGGACAAGGATTTTTTTTGGAGAAATGGGCTTATTATTTGGGGACAGAGGGAATATATTTCTTAATCTAATTAAGTGGTGGGCTAATATGTTGAACTATTTGTAAACTGGCTGTTTTGTTGCAGAGTGGGCTTGCCAAATTTTTTAGGGAAGATCTGAACAGAAGGCTTCTGAGTACAGACTTCAAAAAGCACGTGGATGGCATCGAAGTGTTACATAGGGTGAGTTATGTTCTACTCCGTATCAAATTTATTATGTATTGTTGGGATTCAATTCTTATATCTAATTTCTTCCAACAGGCACTTCCAACCATCGTAAAGGATCTGATTGAAGTTATGGATATAGTTTTAAGGTGGTTTGTTTTGCGATTTTGTGAATCGAACACAACATGCTTATTGAAGGTGTGATATTTGCTACCTTCATTTCATCTGAGTACCTTGAGCATTTTTTCTAATTCCTTATATAGTAACATAATCTTACTCGTGGAATGTGTGTATAATATCAGGCATCTCTAATTGGCAATTCCCCTTTTCTTAATCACAGGTTTTAGAATTTCTTCCTGAATTTTTTGAGGCATTAAGGATTGAGGGGTATGCATTGACTGAAGCAGAGGCAGCCATATTTCTTCCATGTTTGGTAGAAAAGGTTAAGCTTTCTCTTTTTCATTAGATATTTTTTTTTCCTTTTTTTTTTTGATATATCTAGATGCTGTTGTGCAATTGATGAAGCACAGAACATTCATTCATTTTTGTTTCATTGCAACTGTCTTGCAACACGAAGTGAATGATTTGGGTCTGATATATGATTTAAACAATTTTAGATCTTTTTGCAACATATTTGATATTTTCCAGTTAAAATCAGTATAATCATTTGGTTGCTATGGTCTCTTTGTGCTTCATTCGAAGGCATGTTTCTGTTGGATGAGAACTAATTTTGGCCTCTTTTTAAATCTGTAGTCTGGACATAACATTGAGAAACTACGAGAAAAAATCCATGAGCTCACTAAACAAATTGTTAGTATATATCCAGCAGCAAAACTTTTTCCTTACGTCGTGGAGGGACTACGCTCAAAAAATAATCGAACACGTATAGAGTGTGCAGATCTTGTTGGTTTCCTTCTTGACAATCATGGAGCTGAGGTAAGTTTGGGTCTTTTTAAAAAAATATTTAGGATTAGTGTTTAATTGATGGTGAAATTGAGCATCTACTTGTCTCCTTTTTCACAGATAAGTGGGCAGCTGAAAAGCTTGCAGATTGTTGCAAGTTTAACAGCTGAACGAGATGGTGAAACTAGAAAGGCTGCTCTGAACGCGCTGGCCACTGGTTACAAAATTCTAGGTATCAAATGCTGAATCATTAGTTCATATATTTTTTCAGTTCCTTAGTTGTTTGTCCTATTTTTACAACTTTTTCCTGGCTTGTGTTATACTGTAGAGTTTTGGTGTTATGGATGATTGGATCTCCATTTTTTTTATGAGATATGACACCCCTATTCCTCCTTCCTTGGCTCTGATTTTTTTTTTCTTTTTTTCTTTTCATTTTATCCCAAAAAAGCCTTGTTTGAACTTTATAGTCAGAGTTCCAGCTTCTAAAAATTGAATATTAGCTCAATCAGTAGATTTATACACTTGCAAAATTGTACTTTGTATCTTTTTGGTGTGTGACCAAAGATTGCAAATCTAGAAAGCCTTTTTTTAAAGGTAAATGGAGTACTCTCTGAACATCGTGTTGTCCATATGGAGTTTTTTGTTTCGTAATTTCCCGTATCATTGTTGCCTCAATTAACAATGAAATTGTTGTTCATCTCTGAATTTAATGTGTTCTTTATAATTATTGACTGTTCCGGCTTTTGCATGGTCATGCGCATGATAAACAATATGTAAGATACAAGAGTGAATTACAGGATAGTTCAGTTCTTCCAGTCCATCTGTGGTCATGCTTCTTTTAGTGGAATTGATTTATAAACTTCATTTAGTCCAACAGTTTTATTTATTGGAGAAGTATCTTAGTGGAGAATGAGATACCCTTCCAATTTTTTCTTTTTTGACACTGTTTCTGTTACAGGTGAGGATATTTGGAGATATGTAGGGAAATTAACAGATGCTCAAAGAAGTATGATAGATGAAAAATTTAAGACAAAGGTATTGTATTTCTTTCTTTCGTATTAATGGTAATTGTCTTGATTGTTTTAGCTGATCACATAGTGCTTTTTTTTAGGCTCGTGATATGGACAAGAGAAGGGAAGGGAAGCCTGGAGATGCAAGGGCTGCTTTAAGACGTTCGGTCAGGGATAATGGGTGAGGATATCCTAATATTTAACTATGCGGCTTTACTTTCTTTGTTTCTTATGATGTATTACTTTTCACAATGGTTCTATAGCAAAGGGTTATCTAACGACTCCATTTCCTTCGCGATTATTGACACTTTTATAAGCTTTCGTTTTTCTTATATTTACCACCTAGTTCAGATTGCTTTTTGATGTGATTTTTATCTTTGCCTGATGGCCTACATGAAAGTATAGAGTTGGAGCCTGGAAGTCTTTGAGGTTGGGAGTGTATGCTTTGTGCTAGTTATTTTTGTGCCAATCTATACTATCTGTGACATTGGGTGGGTTAGTAAAGTATTCCTGTGCCAGTTTATATCTGTTCATTTTATGGTCATTCCAGTTTATCTTATGTTTTCCACCCTTATCTGCGGGGGTATGTTTTAGCAGCAAGAGGTGGGGATTTCCTTATTATTGGAGCCCTACATATGAATTATGATTTATATATTTAGTTCTATTTCTTGCTTATTCTTTATTCTCTTAATTTTTGTTGTATTTGTACCGCCTGTATCTTCAATTTAAATGCATACCATTCTTTACCTGGCCCTTAAGTTCTAACAGGTCATTTTTCTTTTATTGCTATCCTCGTCTCACTTTAATTGGTTAATTGCTGAAGTAAAGCTTCAATATTTACTTACTTAATTTTTTATCTGAACATATTATAGGTCTGATATAGCTGAACAGAGTGGAGAAGTTTCAAGATCAATTGGTGGCCCAGTTTTTGCCAGGTATTCTCCGCTTTTCTTCCTTTGGGCTCCATCCTATCTTCTGTGCTGTTCTTATGTCTGTTCAATTTTAAATTGACCATTTGTTTGAATTGCCTGTTTCAGGGAACCCTATGTTCATCCTGAACTCCATATGGATAGAAATTCATTGCCTCGAGTGCATGCTGGTGTTAGTGGTCCTACTGACTGGAATGAAGCACTTGATATCATTGCACACGGTGCACCGGAGCAGGTACTTATGCTAAAATGATCCTTTAAAGAAGGCCTTTATATGTAGTTCTGATTTATAGCATGTTTATATATATGCATTTGTAATCCATGCTTGTTGCTTGCATTGAACTCATCTTTCCTGCAACGTAATTCTGTGCAGTCTGTCGAAGGAATGAAAGTAGTTTGCCATGAGTTGGCGCAGGCCACAAATGATCCTGAAGGAAGTACAATGGATGACATTGTCAAGGATGCAGACCGACTTGTTATAATCTTAGCCAATAAGGTACTCTCTCCGTTTTCTCATATGTATTACAATTTGTACAGGCACTGAGGCACATAATGTTAGCAGGTTTAATCGATATGTTGTATTGTAAGAAATGATAGTGAAGACAATAGCTTATTAAATGCAAGGGATTTGAGAGGGGAGGTAATATAAATGGAGCGGGGATCATGGGAGGAGAGAGAGAATATTATAATGTACTTCCTCCGTTTCTTTATTGTTGCAACACACACTTTATCACGGTATATAAGAAAAGTGGACTTTACATGATATAATAGAACAATACACTTAAAATGCGGTTAACAGGTTTTTATTAGAAGTATAATCAAGTGGGCCATGAGATTTAAATAAATGTAATAATACAATTTTCACCATATAAGCCTTCTTTTTTATAGTGTGTTGCTACTAATGTGACATTTCCTTTTTAGGGAAGTGTTGCAACTATAAAGAAACAGAGGAAGTAGTAATTTATCAGAAATAAAAGTATAACACTTAAAATGATCAACTGAATTAGGCATGTGTAACACTTGATATTTGAGGGGATATTGATTTGCATTTTGTAATTTCTGTCAATTTTTTTTTTCCTGCAATGCAACCCTTAGTTTTGTGATTTATTGAAACAGGTTGCAAAGACATTTGACTTCAGTCTAACTGGGGCTTCTTCGAGGTCCTGTAAATATGTTTTAAACACACTCATGCAGGTGATTTTTTTTTTTTTCCTTTCTTCTTTTCTTTGGATATTTCTTGTTGCAACTCATGCTAGTTTTTATGTCTATGTTTTTGTTGCTCTTCTGATGGTTTTTAGTATGCTGCAGACATTTCAAAATAAGACTCTAGCTCATGCGGTCAAGGAGAGCACCCTTGATAATCTCATTACTGAACTTCTTCTTTGGCTTTTGGATGAACGGGTTCCCCGCATGGATGATGGAGGCCAACTTCTGAAAGCTTTGAATGTTTTGATGCTTAAGATCTTGGTATATATGAATTGGCCTTTTTTGCTACTGTTTCATCACCTTTATAGTGACCTATCTGAAAGTAATGTCAATTATTGTAGGACAATGCCGATAGGACATCATCATTTGTGGTGCTCATTAAACTACTAAGTCCAGTGAGCTCCTCAAGATGGCCAGCACCTGCGGTGAATGAATCCCTGAATGTTAGAAATCAGAAATTTTCTGATTTAGTTGTCAAATGTTTGATAAAACTAACGAAGGTAATTTTCCTATGTTTTGCTCGGGTGGGTGAAAGCCTTGGGTTGCATAGAGTGTAAGCTTTGCTGCTCAAAAACACCCAGTGCTGACACTTGTATATTTATACTCTTTTGTTTAATGCTCCTCTAAAAAGACATTTTCAGTATAGTAAATATTATTTAAATCAATCTTCTTTGTCCCTCTTAATTTTCTACACAATTCTTTCTTTTTTTTCTTAATTTTTCTCTGCTACACTGCACTTTTTTTGGATTAACTGAGGGTTGAAAGATATCAGTTTTTTAAATTGCTTATTCCTACTTCAGGTTCTTCAAAGCACTATATATGATGTGGACCTAGACCGCATTCTTCAAAGCATCCATGTGTACCTTCAAGAGCTTGGAATGGAAGAAATAAGGAGAAGGTATTTTTCCCTCTTTGAGTTTTAGCTCTGGTTTCTTCTTATTTGAGGATTATACTCACTCATCCTTTTTGTTCACTCTTCTTTTTGATGTAATTCTGTCTACATGAAGGGCGGGAGCTGATGATAAACCTTTGCGTATGGTTAAAACTGTGTTGCATGAACTTGTAAAACTTCGGGGTACAGCTATCAAAGGTCATCTCTCCATGGTTCCTATAGATATGGAGCCTCAACCCATTATCCTTGCATACATTGATTTGAATCTCCAGGTGCTGGAATTTTGCTTTGCGTTTTGGGTTTTTAATCAGTTGTGTAGCTTTTGATCTGGCTTTCACATGTTGTGATTAATTCTTACTTTATGATTTTACTATTTTTCCTGTACTAGACTTTGGCAGCGGCAAGGATGCTTACCCCCACTGGACCTGTGGGCCAAACTCATTGGGGTGACTCAACTGCTAATAATCCATCTTCTACCACTCATTCTGCAGACGCTCAGTTGAAGGTAATGCTGGACTATCAATGTTGATGACATATGGTCTTTTATGCCTTAAGTACATGTAGCTGTGACTGATTATGATATCTTGGCCGTATGTCTTTTGCAGCAAGAACTGGCTGCAATTTTTAAGAAAATTGGAGATAAGCAGACTTGCAGTATTGGTCTTTATGAACTGTATCGCATTACACAATTATACCCCAAGGTAACTATTGTGCACCAACTTGGTTATCTCCTACTGCTTTGTTTTCTACCCATTAGCCTCTTTTCTCTGTTTGCATTACAAAATTGCTTGATTTTGCTCAAGTTTGGTTATCTCCTACTGCTTTAAGCATATTTATGCTCACAATCTACTCCTATTTGTAGGTTGATATCTTTGCTCAGCTCCAAAATGCCAGTGAAGCATTCAGAACATATATAAGAGATGGATTGGCACAGGTATGCAGCTAATTCACTATCATCGACATTAATTATTAATTGCGGTGCTGTGCTCATCTGTTCATTGCTTCAGATGGAGAAGAATGCAGCTGCCGGAAGGACACCTTCTAGTGTCCCATTAGCAACTCCACCTCCATCATCACTGAATCTGTCATCGCCAAAATTAGCTCCTTTGTCGCCTGTACACACAAACTCACTTAATGATTCAAAATCGTTGAATACTAGAGTTGAGCCAACAAGTTTTTCTTTACCCCCATCATTCAGTGACGATGAGAAGACAGCCAATGCAATCTCCAGAAGTTCAAATTTTGATCACCAACAGCTCCTAGGGGACCAAAGAAGTGACAGACTGGCGACAGGAGGTAATTTTTTTTTTTTATTTTTTGTTCGTGTTTGTGTGTGTTTGTGTTTTCTCTTCTCTCTTTTCCCCTTGGGAAGTTGTTTTTGATTTTGGGAGCTGCTGTTGAACAGTTACTACCGGGACATTAGATGCTATTAGAGAAAGGATGAAGAACATGCAGTTAGCTGCAGCAGGTGTAAATCCAGAATCTGGAAGCAGGCCCTTGATGCCAATGAATGGTAATGTCACTCATAATCAAGCTCAGCATGAGCTAGATGATTCAGCTGCTGACAACCCGGTTCACAGTGGAGTTCTTCCTATGGATGAGAAGGCACTATCTGGGTTGCAAGCCCGGATGCAAAGACTAAAGAGTGGGTCATTTGATCATGTATAGGACAGTAAAATTGAGGATCACATTATTGAAAGCTGCTTTACCATCTCACATAGTGCAGATCTCGTTCAGTGCCTTTTCTGGGCAGACCTCTGTACACTCACGGATTTTGTACATAAGAATATGTAACCAAATTTGATGGGAAGCTTTACTTGAATTCCATGGTGGGTGTAACGGATCTTTTTGATTGGTTTCCCAGAAAAGCTTGTTTACGAATGGTGCATGGTATACTGTTAGCTGTAATCTGTTCAGCTGTAAAAGGCCCGAGGTTTGTTCTTGGGTGATTGATGAGAGACTAATCAGGGAATAGTATAAGAAATTTTTCTTCCGCTAACCATTGTGTGCAATGATTCTTGTAAACCTTACAGCTTATCATTTTGTATATGATAATTGACATTATCTTTTGTTACAGATGTATCTTTATGATGTAACTTAATGAAAAGTTTTGTTTTGTGTTGATGCAACTATTTCTTTTGGGCAATTTTTCTCTACGGCTTTATTTCTTTTGCTTAAATTTAGTGTATATGTTGGCACTATCTTCATATTCCTCAATAGCATCAAAATCGATTAGTTGCTTTTTGTTTGCTTATAGCAAAACTTTTTAAGGAAAGTGAAAAGATAGAGTGGAGGGAAGTTGGTAAATAAAAGGTGGTAAAATTAACTATGGGCTTGTTTAAATTTACTAAGCTAAAACTGAATGTTTTATGATAGAAGGAAATTAAAGTTGAACTTAACTAAACTAATTGGAGTTGAATTGAATTGAAATTAAGCTAAAGTGAACATGTCCTAAATAAAATATGTAGTAATAAATAACAAGGTTGTCAAACTCGAAATTGCAATAATATGAATCGGAGGTAGTGTATAGTTCTTAAGGGTTCGTTTGGCATTGTTGTGGTTTTCTGTTTTTTGGTTTTTTGTTCTCTAAAATTATATGATATGAGTCCCATAATGAATCAAAAATTATATAAACTTATTAAAATTATGATAATTATGAAAACTGACAACAGAAAAGTGGAAACTCATTTTTCTTGTTTCCTGTTGTTGGTTTTTGGTTTTCAAAAAAACAGGAAACTGAAAACTAAAACTGATGTCAAACAAGCCCTAACAAATTCGTTTTCTAAAATTAATAAATAATAAATTAACGATAAAGGCATTAATTTTCTCATAAATTATTTGAACCACCTAGCATTGCAACGGTAGTAGATTTTTTTGTTTTTTGGCTATAAAAGCTTGTGGAGTATATTAATGTATTCATCAATGTATTCAGTTAGTTGATCATCAATTTATTCAGCCAAACCAACAATGTTATAAAGTTAATTTGGCACAACTAGTACAAGTATAAAGTTGATGGAAAACTTTAACTAGGTAATTAATCCGATATTTCAACTATTTAGCCAAGAAAACTAAACATTGTTGTAATATGGAGTAAATAACAACTCGTTTTGCGTGTATTCAGTTTAGTTCCTAATTTCCTTCTCTCATAAATCATTCATTTCAGCTCTATTCAGTTCAGTTTAACACATTTCAGTAAATTTGAACCGACCCTTAAATTCTTATAGCTAGGTGAGTGTATACTGTAACAAGTTTTAACATAGGTAAGTGACAAGTCCAAATTCAATAATTCAAAGAATTATATTTCAAATTGAGGAAACAAAATAAATACATTGTTCTTTAAAATTACAACACAAACTTTATCACGATATTTAAAAAAGGTAGATCTCATATGATATACTCTAATATTTTCATTTTAAAGAAGTATTACAACAGAAATGGAGAAAGTAGTAGATAATCTATACAAAAATAAATCTAGTGCTCAATAAAATACCCATAAAAAACAAATCACATCACTTGTGAATACGATTTATCTATCCATCAATAATGGAAAATTTTACATTATTCTTAATTAGAACAAGAAAAAAGAATTCATTGGACCCTTCCTTTCCCATTTAAATAATACTCCCTCCGTTTTTAAATATTTGTTCCACTTTCCTTTTGCGGTCGTTTTTAAATACTTGCTCTATTTCCTTATTTGAAAAGCTTTTACAATATTTAATTAATTTCTCTCACATAGTGGATCCAACATATATTATCTCTCCTCCAATTCTCTCCACTACTTTTATTTTCTACAATTTTTTATTTTCCACCAATCCCACTACCTCCATATTTTATTACTTTCTCCAATTTCTCCTAAAACTCTGCGCATGGAGAAATGGAGCAAGTATTTAAAAACGGAGGGAGTACTACCAAAATAAAAGGAGACAAATCACATACTTAAAAAATAGGGAATTAGGGATGATGGGATTTACAAAGAAGCGCATGAATATATGAGAGTGGACTTCAATCTAATTTACCAAATCAATTACTTGTTAATTTCATAATTAGTATTATTATAGTATATTAATTATAAAATAAAAATCATTAATACAAAGTTCAAAACTTAATTAATTCACTAATCTTCCCCTGTATTTCTTTCTGTAGGGCTGGCAAACCCTGACCCGACACGAAAACCCGACCCGAACCCGACCCGAAGTTACTGAGAGAGACCCGAACCCGACCTGAACCGAACCCGAACAACCCGAATTCGACCCGATTTGACCCAAATTTCATATTTCGTAATAATATTAAGTTTTACACTATTTTTAATAGTTTCTAAGCATAACCCGAAATCGACCCGAAATCTGACCCGAACCCGACCTGTTGACCCGAATTGCCACCCCTATCTTTCTGTTGCTTCTTTTATCTTCACTCTTTCTGACAACTTCTCCTTTTACTGAACGCTGTCTCTTTCTCTCTCTATCTTTCTGTTTCTCTCTCTAAAAAAAGGGTTAATTTTGAATGGCTTCAACACTGCTTTTAGTGATTGTGTTTGTTCTTGATTTGATTGCTTTTGCTCTTGCTGTTACTGCTGAACAGAGGAGAAGCACTGTAAGTTTTCCATTTTTGCTTTACCCAAAATTTAATTAAGTTAAAGGTGGAATTTTTTGTGGGTTATATTGTTAAACCCCTTGAAAATATAAGAAAAATATATTTTTCTTCCTGTAATTTGCTAAAGGTGGAATTTTTCGTGGGTTATATTGTTAAACCCCTAGAAAATATAAGAAAAATATGTTCTTCCTGTTATTTGCTAAAGGTTGAATTTTTTTTTTCTGGGTTCTTGTTGTTTAATTAATCATTATTGGCTGATAAATTATGGCGTTAATTTTTAATTTAATGTTTTCCTTTTTTTTTGGGGGGGGGGGGGTGGGGGATTTTCTCTTTGTTTAATGTCAATTTGATGTTAATTAAATTGATTAATTTTGTTGGTTTATGCTTTTATGGGTTTCTTTGCTTTCAAAATGATTAAAAATAAAGGAAAAATTGTTTGGGAATTTATTGTTGGGTTTTGCATAGGTTTTTGATTTTGATTTTGATTTTTGGTTTATGTCAACACAAATCTGGCTGGGTGTTCCAGTGGATTTGTGTACTTTTTTGCCTGATTTGCATGAGTAGGATTCAAGTGATTACATTGAATATTAGTTAAAACTGAGTGAGTGATTGCTACAAATATATGCTCGAGTAATTAAGCATAGTAATATCAACTGTTGGGTCGAATTAGATTGAAGCTGGTTGTCTTTTTAACTTGATAGATTACCTTAGTAAATTATCAAGTTAAGATCGAACACTACCCCTCATTCATCATATGTCAAGTAAATATTTAACTTGAATAGGGGTTTTAGCCTGAATTGAAGAGAATAAACATGCTTGGAATCAATCCTATATGGTCGGTATCATGGTAACTACTTTCAAAACCGATGCATAATGGAAGATTTTTTGTTCAAAATTTAACATAATTTAGGATATTGTTGATGAAACTATTAGTGTTGAAGGTTTCTTGTAGTTTTGGATGTAAAGTTTTAAGGTTGATCATGTAGGGAAGACTTATCTTGGGTTTTTATATGCTATTTGGCTCTCCTTCGCTTATATTGGTCTTCGGGTTTCACATTATAAAACATGTTTATTAGATATGACAAATGGGGAAGATAGGATAGCCAATAAATTAGATATCTTTAACAGTAGTATAACGCTAAAGGGTATTGAAGTTACGGAGAAGCATAAGAATATTATTGATAATAGGGAAGTATGTATATACAAACTATCGTAGTGTGAACATAATATGATAATAATAGTAAAAAATCATGGGAGATCATTATTCCCCAAGTATTGTAGATTTGTAGTGTGGACATAATTGTACAAAATTGTGGGAGATTATTATCTCCTATATTAAGAATACAAGCAAAAAGATTGAGAATTACTCATAGCACAAATAAGGTACATAAACTAGGAATGAATAAAGATAGTGATTGACTTGCTTCATCTCCATCATTCATATATCCATTGATGTGTTTGTTGGTCATTAATCAATCATTAAATGTCTAAATTCTCGAGTTAAAATTGCACGACAGTAAGATTTCATGTACGGCCAAAATATTTTAATGCAGATAGTAGACTCTCCCTGTTTATAAAGTTCAATAATACCGCTATGGTTTTTTTTTTTTTCTTTTTTGTGCTAACTGTTAAGTATCATATGTTTGTAATGCATATTTACCTGGGAACTCAAATACTATTATAAGACCATTCTTCTAATTTCGTTACTATGTTAAGTGTCATTTATGACACATTTCATTCATCAAGCTGAGCAATTCTCGTCTCCCTCCTTTTTCAGCCTAAATGTTAACTAAATTGTTTATCTTAAGCTTATTATCGGCCAATTTCATCTGTTTGCCTATATTTTGTAACCTTAGAATTTTGTTCCCTTTCATTATTACACACATACTCAATCTCGTTCCATTCCTGTTAAATTTAAGCAATTTAGCATGATTGGTATGTATTTAGTTCTTAATTGTAATGTTTTCCAGAAGTCAGAATACATCTTCCATATAACTTTATTATACACATACTCAATCTAGTTCCATTCCTGTAACATTTCAGCAAGTTAGCATGATTGGTATGAAATTAGTCCTTAACTGTAAGGTTTTCCAGAAGTCAGAAAACATCTTCCGTTTTCATTTCCTTTTAAGTAGATCAGTTTGGAAATACATATTGAGTTATGGGACATGAAATAAGATATTATGAGGAGTAAGATATTATAATTACTAATTTACTTTAAAACCACTTCTTAATAGATTCCAAGATAATAACCTTCGAATGAATGAAATTGCAGTGTCTTATCACTGCTGTCACCAACTCAACATCATTAATTTTCATAAGCATATTGAATTCTTCTGTCTTTGATTCATGAATTGGCTTATACCAAAGTTGACCAGTGATGATACAAAATTTTCTTTTTTTAATATGGTTCATCCTATCATTCATTTAATTATCACCCTATGAATCTAATTAAGATACAATATCGTTTTCAAATATCCCGGCTCATCCGATCAAAACTTTCATTATATTCCAAAATACTAGCCTTATGTGAACTGGCAGTTTG